TTCTGTTTATGTGGTGCTGAGGAATCGAACCCAGGGCCTCATGCTTGCAAGGCATGCACTCTACCACTGAGCTACTTTCCCAGCCCTGGCCCTCAGCTCTTCAGCTCAAGGCTAATGCTCTACCACTTGAGCTACAGCACCACTTCCGGTTTTCTGGTAAATTGGAGATAAGAGTTTCACGGACTTTCATGCCCTGGCTGGCTTTGATCCCCAATCCTCAGATCTCAGCCTCCTGAGTAGCTAGGATTACAGGCGTGAGCCACCAGCACCCAGCAAGTTCCTAGGTTTGATCCTCAGCATTCTCTCTCTCTCTCTCTCTCTCTCTCTCTCTCTCTCTCTCTGTCTGCCTAGAAGTTAATATAGTATACCTTTTTTTTTTTTTTTGCCAGTCCTGGGGCTTAAACCTCAGGGCCTGGGCACTGTCCCTGAGTTTCTTTTGCTCAAGGCTGGCATTCTACCACTAAGCTACATTCCCAACCCAGTATGCCTTATCTTTTTAATTTGTTTGAACTTTAAGTCCCTACATTATTAGTCATCAGCTTGGTCCTCATATGCTCTTACCCTTTTCAGTCTACAATTTTCCAAGCTGCTTTCTTTTTCTATGCCTTTCTTCCCAACAAGGAGCCCTCTTCCTTTACAACAAATCCCCCCACCCTAGGGCTTTCTTTGTTTCCTTTTTTTGCCAGTCCTGGGGTTTGAACTCTGGGTCTGGGCACTGTCCTTGAGCTTCTTTTTGCTTAAGGCTAACACTCTACCACTTGAGCAACTTCCAGTTTTTCTTGTGTATGTGATACTGTGGAATTGAACCCAGGGCTTCATGCATGCTAGGCAAGCACTCTACCACTAAGCCACATTCCCAGCTCTGTTTCCTCTTTTTTTTGTCAGTATGTTGTTCACCTGACAGTGAAACTAAGTGTGATTCATGAACTTACAACTGATTACAGTAACCCAAGCATGATTTTTGTTGGTTATATGAGTCCTCTGAAAGTATAAGGTGTCATGCAGTAAACCATGATGATTCCATTATTCCTTCTTTAGACAAGTGAAATTTTAATTCTGTTTTTTTCTACAGGGGACATGGTCTCAAAGTACCGAGAACCTTTGATCCATACCTTCTTGAGGGGTGCAAGAGACCCAGATAGTACACACAGGGCCAGCAGCTTAGCCAACCTGGGAGAACTATGCCAACACCTGGACTTCTTGCTTGGCCCTGTGGTTCATGAGGTACTGTATGGTAAACTCCTCCTTCTACTGCTGGTTTTTACTTAGACTTATTATATAACTTGAGATTGAAAATCAGGAGACCTGTGTTTTTTCCAGCTCTGCTTCTGCTTACCTGGGACATAGTAAACATTGGTCACTTATCTTCTCTATGCTTCCCTATTAACTTTTAACTCCCTGTTAATCAGTATGCTTAGTATAATGTTTTAGTCTCTTTAACTTCCCTATTCTGTCTCTCTTCTTGGTGGAGGTTTAAACTCAGGACCTCACACACTTGCTAGGCCTCTACTGCTTGAGCAACACCCAGCCTTTTTTTGCTTTAGTTATTTTACAATAACTCACATTCGTTAGCCCCTATTGATTTTCCTTAAGCTTCGTGTGTAGCTGGAATGACAGACATGACCACCATACCCAGTGATTTTGTTAGATAAGGTCTTGCTTGCTTGTTCAGCTAGCACCCTACCACTTCAACCATACCCCTAACCCAACTTTTTGCAGGTTATTTTGGAGATGGACTCTCCAAATCTTATGGACTTTGTTGCCCAGACAGGCTTTGAAGTTCAGTCTTATAGATCTCAGACTCCTTCCTGAGTAGATAGGATCATAGATGTGAGCCACCAGCTCCTGCTGATTTTCTGTATTTAGACTTTTTTTGGTGGTAATAAGATTTGAACTCAGGGGCTGGAAAGGTAGCTCAGTGCTAAAGTGCTTGCCTTGCATGCATGAGGCCCTGGGTTTGATTCCTTAGCACTATATAAGCAGAAAAAGCCAGAAGTAGAGCTATGGCTCAAGTGGTAGAGTGCTAGTCTTGAGCTTTAGAGCTGAGGGATAGTGCCCAGGCACAGACAGAGTTCAAGCCCATGACCAACAAAAAAAAAAAAAAAAATTTGAACTCAGGATTAGAGGCATAGCTCAGTTGGCAGAGTGGTAGTCAGTGAGTGAAAGCATCAAGTACCAAGTTCAAATACTGGTCTCAGATCTTTAAAAAAATGGTTTGAACTCAGGGTCTCATGCATAACACCACTGAGCCACACATCTCCAGCCCTGTTTTTCACTAGTTATTTTTAGGGTAGGGCCTCACTCTCATGTAACTGAATCATGATCCACCTACTTTAGGCTTCCCATTGATGCTGAAATCACAAGCATTGGCCACAACCTCCAGATTCTGCCAGGCTGGCCTGGTACCATAATCCTCCCAATCTCAGTCTCCCTGATAGCTTGGGATGACAGACTCACACCACTATATCCAGCTGTGGTTTGTGAAGGAGGTCTTGAAAAGTTTTCTGGGCTTGCTATTCTGAACCATGTTGTTCCAAGCCTCCCAAGTAGCTACAGTTACAGGCATTAACAACTGGTGCTCAGCTCTCTTATTCAGATCTTTCTTTAAGAAATACCTTAGAAGCTGGGTGCCAGTGGCTCACGCCTGTAATTCTAGCTACTCAGGAGACTGAGATCTGAGGATCATGGTTCAAAGCCAGACCAGGCAGGAAAGTCCATGAGACTCTTTTTTTTTTCTTTTGTCGGTCGTGGGGCTTGAACTCTGGGCCTGGGCACTGTCCCTCAGCTCTTCAGCTCAAGGCGAGCACTCTACCACTTAAGCTACAGTGCCACTTCTGGTTTTCTGGTGGTTTATTGGAGATAGGAGTCTCACGGTCTCTCCTACCCGGGCTGGCTTTGAACTGCGATCCTCAGATCTCAGCCTCCTGAGTAGCTAGGATTACAGGCGTGAGCCACCAGCACCCGGCCCCATGAGACTCTTAACTCCAATAAACCACTAGAAAACTGGAAGTGGCGCTGTGTCTCATGCGGTAGAGTGCTCGCCTTGAGCTGAAGAGTTGAGGGATAGCGCCCAAGCCCAGAGTTCAAGCCCCACGACCAACAACAAAAAAGAAACATCTTAGTTATTGGAGGGGGCTGATGCTCCAATGATAAGGAAGAGCAGCAAAACAATGACAACTAGGTAAACTGTGTCCTTTAAATGTCCCCAACATCTGCAGTGTGTCAGGCCTTTGTTAGGGGCTAGAGAAACAAACCCTGTTAACCTCACTTAGACCTCTGGGCCTAAGGAATCTGGTGGCAGACCCAAATGTCTGTGCTTACAATGAAGTTCATCAGTATAAGTGCTAGGATGCATGTGAGGAGGTGTGAGGAGAAGGGTCCAGTTAGAGTGCTGACAAAGATGCCTAGGGGAAGAGATCCTTAGGTCTGAACCTGGGGAACAAGTGAAAGCTAAATAGGCAGGGAGGCAGGGTAGGAATTTCAGGAGGAACAGTGTGTACAAATGCACCAAGGTGGGGGACAACCTGACCGATTTGAAGAACTGGAAGATCCTGAAGGCTTAAGTGGAAGAGTGGAGGTGGGGGGGGCTAGTTGGCAACTAAAGCTGAGGCAAGAGAGGCAAGAAGGGGATACACCTCGGAGAACTGAGGCACCAAGAAGCTAAGTCATCCCAGTTTTGCAGATAAGACAAGGCAGGGCTAGACTGGAATGTGGGTAGTTAGTTCCAGAATTCATGCCCTTCACCACTCATCTACACTGTCTCTCAGGAATGTTTTCTGCTCAATTATAGGAGTGCTTTTGTGCCTTGACACTGAAGACTCTTGTCATGTCAGAAAAGGCACAGGCAGGAAGGGTCATGTAGCCCTGCCTTAATAGAGCTTGCTTTTGGCAGTGAAACTTCAGGAGGCAAAGTATTCTCTCTGATTTGAAAAACCAGGTGTTTCCATCCTGTATAATTTCTGTCTCTTCTTTTCAAATGTTCCTTCTTATGTAGCATCCCACGCTTGCCTCGTCATAGTGCCAAACTAGCTACCCTGGGTGGACGACAAGTTTGGACATGCTTGGAGGCCTGCCAGGTTTACTATTGCAGCTATGCCTACTGTAGTCAGGCAGTTCGGGTCGATTCACATGGCAAAAGTGGTAGGATCATTGATTATTCAGTAGTTTTCATCTGTTTATTCACTTAACAGACATTTATTGAGCACATATTTTGTGCCGGTTGTGTCCTTGTGGACCTGCCATTTTGGAGGGGAGAGGTAGGCAATAAACAAGTGAACATATCTATACTACATGAGGGTGGTAAGTTGCTCAGAAAATATATCTAGTGAAACAAGGATGCCAAAGGGACCTTGTTACAAATGTGACTTGTATGGTCAAGAAAAGCCTTACTGATGACTGACATTCGAACAAAATTTAAGGAGGCAAGGGTCTGATCCAGACAGCTGTGGGTAGAACATTGCAGACAGAGGGAGCTGCAAGCACAGAGGCCCTGAGGCAAGTGCAGATTCGACTGCAGAGAGCAGCATGGCCCGTATGGCTAAGAGAAGAGAATAAAGAATAGTAGGAGATGGCATGGGAAAGTGGGAGGCCAGTCCAGGTGGGACTTTGACAGATTTGGCTTGCCTATAAGCAGTCAGAGCAGAGCCATGCGATAGTCTAGCTTATTCTAGATGACCACAGCTTCTTCTGTGCCGATTCTTCCAGGATCTCATTAAAGCTCTTGAAGCCTGCAGCCTCAGATGTACTTAACCTCCAGTGTGTACTGGTGGACAAGGAACTTCAGCTTTGAGGAAACTTGGCTTTGAGAATCCTGTAGAGAATCCCAAAGAAGCATTTGTGATATTCTGTGCCAGGAATGCTGGAGGACACACATAAAGGACCCCAGTTCTTCCTGTAAGGAAATCTCAGCAGGGGATGAAGTAGACTGGGGGATCAGATCAATGTTATAGCAATAGGCCAAGGGGGTATAGGAATGAGGAGCTGAGACCCTGTTTAGACATGTCTTGGTATCAGGAAGGCTATGATGTGATGATTAAGTGATAGGTAGGCAGAGGAGAGAAGCTCAGTCTATTTTGACATAAAGTTGGATAAATTAGCCACTAAAGATTCCTCTAATGTGATCTGCTTTGGGGCATTTGCCCCTCCCCCAGCTGTTGCATATGGGCATCTGAGGAAAGCTCTCCTCACTCTTGGGTGGCCCAGATTTGGGCATTCTGTTTTTTTTTTTTTATGGTGCTGGATGGTTGGGAAGGAACAGAAAGTATAGGCCCAGCCCCTCCAAAATTTTCATACTGGGAATTCAAGTTTTTCTTCTTTGTTGGTGCCAAGATTTAACCTGTTTATAGAGTTTTATTAATTTTTTCAAATTTCTCCTTGTCCTTGTCAAGAGCTATATTGCTTGAAACCAAATCTTGGTTTGTTCTTTCATCTTTATCTCTTTCTAGGAGAAGCAGGTTAGTTTAAGTGCACCATTGGGAGGAGTCTGTCCTTAGTCCTGCATACAAGGTGCACCCCAAGTGTCAAGTCCCAGAGCAGTCTACTTTCAGTGTTATGCCAAACTTCCATATATCTGAGCCTTTGAGGTCTCATACAGTGCTGTAGCCTCTGATCTCATGCTTGATTTGAATTTATTACCAGCTTTGCAAATGTTGGTTTCATTTTCTAAGTGACAAGGCTTGAACAATTTGTGGATATGTCAGTACTTGAGATGAGGGTTTGGTGGATATTCTGGGAAACCACCCCACATCCCCAGGAAGCTTAAGCAGTCCCCATAGTTTCTTCCTGGCAGGTAGAATGAACAAGCTGAGCTCATAGCTCATAATAATTATTGGCTAGACTACCTAACCAATTCAGTTTTCTTAGTTCACCAGGGATCCAATTTAGTAGTAGAAACAAGTTAGTAGATTGACCATAGTTAGCAAAGGAAACTTGAGGGGGAAAAAGAGGGGGAAAAAAAGATGAAGTAGGAAAATTGAAGTCATGCTTTCTCCATATATACCTATTTTTTTTTGGTCTGGTCGTGGGGCCTGAACTCTGGGCCTGGGCGCTGTCCCTCAGCTCTTCAGCTCAAGCCTAGCGCTCTACCACTTGAGCCACAGCACCACTTCTGGCTTTTTTCTTATGTGGTGCTGAACCCAGGGCCTCATGCATGCAAGGCAAGCGCTCTACCACTGAGCCACCTTCCCAGCCCCCCCCTTTTTTTTTTTTGTCTATCATAGGGCTTGAACTTGGGGCCTGGGCGCTGTCCCTGAGCTCTTTTGTTCAAAGCTAGCATTTTACCACTTTCCACTGTGAGCCACAGTGCCACTTCCAGTTTTCTGGTGGTTATTTGGAAATGAGTCTCACAGACTTTCCTTCCCTGGCTCGTTTCAAACCACAATCATTAGATCTCAGTCTTCTGAGAAGCTAGGATTATAGGCATAGGCATGAGCCACCTAGTTCCCAGCATCCTCCATACATACTTCAACACTGTACCTTCTCTCCTGGAATTTTCCAAAGTCAGTTTGGTTAATCTTGCCATTTTTATTATCTTTATTTGTATAGTTCTAATTATGCTTGGTGTATGCCAGCTGTTTGGGGAGTGATGTTTTTCCTTATTTCTGTTGGCTCTTGCGAAGTACTAAATTGCTTAAACTGACCTTTAATGTTGCCAGAGCAGTCGTCATCTTTCTGTCTGTATGGCTTGCAGAAGTAGATATGATTCATGTGATTTAACCAGTAAAGAGAAGGCCTTCCATAGTTTTGTGTATTAGAATAGTACATTGGCCCTCAGGGCTGGTGTCATAAAGGAGAAAATAGGTTTCTGCCCTTTGGGAGGACTTAAAAACAGAGAATGGAAATGTTACACCAATTCATAAATTAGTAAAGACCTTTCATCATCTTACATCGTCCTTCACCAAAGCTTTTAGTGGTAGAAGGCAATGTTGAGTTTGTCCTTGGAGGTGAGACAGTAGCTCATGCTGACTTATTAGACTGGGTAGATGGAAGTAAGCTGCCTTGAGTCCTTCTAGATCTCATGTTAAATGAAAGGCCTGTAAGTGAACAGCATACAAGCAGGGCATGGGGTTTCACCTGCACAGGAAGAGGCTGTTCTTACCTATAGATGAGATCCACAAGACCATAATAAAATTGGATACCTTAAAAACATTTTGCAGGGGCTGGTAAAGTAGCTCAGTGGTAGAGTGCTTGCCTTGCATGCATGAGGCCCTGGGTTCGATTCCTTAGCACCACATAAGCAAAAAAGAAAAAAGCCGGAAGTGGCGCTGTGGCTCAAGTGGTAGAGTGCTAGCCTTGAGTTGAAGAGCTGAGGGACAGCGCCCAGGCCCAGAGGTCAGGCCCCATGACCGGACCCAAAAAAAAACACAACATTTTGCATGAGTAACCATCCCACAGTTTATAGAATTTGATCTGAATGGCAGAGATGTCGAAGAAGGTCACAAACTTCTTCCCTTCTTGAGCCTCTTCCTAATCGTTGAATGGCTCCTCGTGGATAGCACATAAGTCATTTAATGGCCTATAGCAAGCAGGAGACCATTCCAGCAAGGCTTGTAAGAACCAGTTCTTTCCTCAACGTCACCTTCAAGGTGACACAGGGATTCAAGAATTGGCCTTAAAGGGAAAGCCCTTTTCTATCCAGGCTGCTACTTCGTGGATATCCTGATTACGGAATCAGTGCCTGATGGTCAGAGCTAACCTGCACTAAAAGCTGAAGTAGAAGCATGGCCTGCTCAGCATAATGAGGCAGAACCAAGGGGACAAAGGCAGACACCAGCAGGCTTCTAGGCAGAAAGCCTTCATTGACAGATGTAAAAGGACTCCAAGGGGAACAGGCAACACTTGGGAACCTCTGATCGTGACATGGCCCTGGGCTGGCTTTTGTACATTAGATATTGGATTGAATAAAGCTGAACTTCTGTGTGTCCAGAAGGATTCTGGCCTAGCTCTGACTTGTTCAACTCTTACCTTATAAATATTAAGCCTGAAAGTGGAGGTAGCTATTATATTGTTACCTATTTGGAGGTGGCCCAAGGAGTTTCCTCCTAGGGCTGAATTCCTTCAACTGTTAATACCAAAGGCACAAAATCCATTGCTGGCATTGGAGTTGGGGGTCTCAGGATGAAGCAGCTTCCTGGGACTAACTAAACAACAGCCCTCAATGAGTTGTGCTTTTCTGGATTTTCCCTTCCCTTGCAAGCTGCAAGTTTGCCTAATAGATAGAAGTTGATTAAATGCCAGTGTAGCACAGAGGCAATTATATTTAAGAACAGGCTTCTTCCTCTAATCTCTCTGCCATCACTGATTAATTAGATACTTTGAACTATGCCCAACTATTTGAAAGCTGTGAAAACTACAACCTGTGTAGTTAAGATTTCTGCACAAGTATATTTCCTCATTTGTGCCTGTATTCACCACTCTTAAAACATAATATGTATTTACACATGTTTCCAAAGACACAATCTGGATATTTTCTTATCATGGTTAAAATCTTTCTACTGATGGCTAGGAAATACAGACACATAGTAAAGCCAATAACAAAAGCATATGAGACATGAATTTAGTTAATTTAGACAAACCTTCAGATTGTTAGTGCCATTGATCACATTGCAAAAGTGCATGATTGCCTCAGAGAGGTTTGTGGTCATTATCATCTTCTGTACTGAAATTTTAGGGTTTTTGTTGTTGTTGTTTTGTTTTGTTCTGTTTTGTTTTTGCTAAATAGGAGCCATGGTAGGGTGAATGGTACAGGACATAGAAACAGTTTCAGTGGCCATAGCAGTGCTATACCCCTCTGTCATGGTAACCAATAAACTTCTGTTTCTCTTTTTAAAAAAAAAGTTTCATTTTATTACATATAATAATTAGCGGTATGACTGCGAGCATGTTTTACAAGTAATTTCTAGTTTTTCTCTTCTGTTATAAAATTGTCTTTGAATCATTTCTCTGCCTTTTGGCTAAGTTCAAGCATAGAATTGTCTTTGGAAGTAACTGAGCATGGAAAGCTCTGTCTCACCAATGAAGAAGCCCAGGCAGAAATTGCTCAAACTGGCTGTTGCTGACTTTATGAGGGTGGTTGCTAGATTTGTAGGACAAGGATGTGTCAGTCATACCAATGAAGGTCAGTTTACCTGTTTCTTAATTTCTATGTTGGACATTATGCTGCCATATTCATGCCGGACCTTGAACTCTGAAGTCTCTTTAGGGAAATCTCCATGGTTCTCAGATCTCAGAAGCAGCTATGTTTTAGACTGTTTTTCCTACCTCCAATATGTCCCCTCAGAGGAACACATGATAATTTTTCCTGCTTTTGAAGAGACAGTCACTCTTAAACTTACCTTTTTTCTTTTTTTTGCCAGTCCTGGGGCTTGAATTCTAGACCTGGCCACTGTCCTGTGCTGCTTCTGATTAAGGCTTGCACTCTACCACTTGAGCCACAGCACTACTTGCAGCTTTTTTTTTTTTTGTCAGTCATGGGGCTTGAACTGTGGGCCTGGGTGCTGTCCCTCAGCTCTTCAGCTCTAAGCTAGTGCTCTACCACTTGAGCCATAGCACCACTTCCAGTTTTCTAGTGGTTTATTGGATATAAGAATCTCATGGACTTTCCTGTCTGGGCTGGCTTTGAACTGTGATCCTCATATCTCAGCCTTCTGAGTAGCTAGGATTACAGGTATGAGCTACCAGAGCCCAGCTACTTGCAGCTTTTTCTGTTTATGTGGTACTGAGGAATCAAACCCAGGGCTTCATGCATGCTAGACAGGTACTCTATCACTTAGCCACATTTCCAGCCTGACCTTATCTTTTTTTGAAATGCATATTATATATATATATATATGTGTGTGTGTGTGTGTGTGTGTGTGTATGTACATATATATATATATATATTCCCCACTTGCTATAATCCTTTCTGAATTCCAAACCAGATTTTATCTTTGTAGACAAGCCAGACTACATCAAGAGCTCTATGCCTAGTTCTCACCTTCTAAATTGAACATGAGGAAATAGATCCACTCCACTCTAAGCTACATTGCTCTTGATAAATGTGTAGAAAGTGGAACACAGTTGAAAGGCTAGTGATAATTGTGCAGTACTGATTTTTATTGACTTTTCTTACTCTCCTAGGTGACAGCTTGCCTGATTGCTGTGGCTAAAACAGACCATGATGTTCAAGTGCGCAGAGCTGCCATCCATGTGATTGTTGTGCTGCTTCGGGGCCTCAGCCAGAAAGCTACTGAGGTAAGTCAGTCCCTTGCCATGTGCAACTTCCTACCTCTTTGGTTTTATTCTTCAGCCTTAATTTTACTGGAGCATGCTCAAATCTTTTGCCTAGATTTATGTAAATGAATCAGTCAACAGGAACTTTTTTAGCAGGAAAATGGTATTGTTTACATCTTCAATAAGAGTCTGTTTCCTCTGTGATATGTTGGGCAAGCCACCCAGTAACTGCCGCATCAAAACCAGAGCACACTTTTACAGATGGAGGCTCTGAATTCTGGCATTCCCCTCCTGGCAGAGCAGGTTCCAAGGTGGGTTAACTGCTGCACATTAACCCTGTCACTGCGGCCTGAACTTTAGTGACTTGTCTTCCTGACTCATTTCATTGTTCATGCTGAGTTGCTAAAGGCCTTCACTTAAAAGCCTTCCTTTTCTAGTTCTAAGTTCAGGCCATGGATTTTCATTGCTGCATATATTACACTTTCTTCCTTCCTCAAATCAGTTTGGCTATATTTCTCCCCAGTGTATGACTAGAACAGGAAGAAAGTGTATATATTCATGTGTGTGCTAAGAATGAGTGACCTCAAAATTAATTTTCTTCTTGATCCTAATGGAAACTTATTCCCAGAGTTTGCATTAATAATTCACTTCCTGGCATCCACAATTCTCATCTGTGGCTTACATATCCGTATTTAACCAACTGTCAAGGAAGCCATTATAAGAGTGGTTGTTTGTCTCACAGAGAGACTTTATTCATGATAGAATTTTACTGTATCAAGTTCCTGATACCTGTTTGTACAAGCATGGGTTCATTAGTGATCTCCTTCCTTTTCTATACAACTATATTTTCTCTCTAAATGCCTACTTGCTATTTCAGCTTAGTAGCAAGACTGTTGATCTCCAAATGGACCCTTCCTTCATCATTACCCTCAGCTGAATTTTTCTCCCTTCTTATCTGCTTTGAACAGGTTGTTTGTATTGAATGATTTCTGGTATAAACATACTCAACTATAAAAACTCTTTAACTACAATGGCTAAAACAAGTAAAGATGTGTTTTTCTCATACCACAAGAAACATGTAGGTAGATAGTGGGGGTTAGCAGACAAGTGACAACAGGGCCAATATTTCTATAATCTTCATGGCCTGGGTCTCATGACTGTAGGACCATAACAACTATGCCACTGTAACTAGTTTAAATTAGTAAGAAATAAGAGAAGGCCAGCTTAGGGGCTGGGAGGGTGGCTCAGTGGTAGAGCGCCTGCGTTGCATGCATGAGGCCCTAGGTTCGATTCCCCAGCACCACATAAGCAAAAAGAAAAAAAGCTGGAAGTGGCATTGTGGCTCAAGTGGTAGAGCACTAGCCTTGAGCTGAAGAGCTGAGGGACAGCGCCCAGGCCCAGAGTTCAGGCCCCACGACCGGACCCAAAAAAAAAAAGAGAAGGCCAGCTTAGGCACTTGTATATCTTTGGGGTGGGGGTGGGGGGGATCCAGAACAGTTTTCTACAGTAATATAGCTGATTTTCATTTTATTTCACTGGCCAGAACTCCTGTCTCACACAATTACTACTCACCTGACAATGTGTTTAGCTGGCACACTGCTGCTCTAAAAATAAATAGATAAATAAATAATTGAAGTTTAATTAGCAAGGAAGATGACAGGAAATGGGTACTGGGGCAGTGACTGATAGTGACACAAAGGGAAATGGAAAACAGTGGTCTGGTTCATAAATTCAGAAGTTCATAAGAACTTCTGTAGAGATAGGATTGTTCAGAATTAGGGAGCTCTCACCTAGACAGCTAGAGGTGCCAGGGTATCATCTAGAACCCTGATGGAGATAAAAGACAAGTAGATCATCACTTGATAATTCATATAATTAAATGAATTACCATAGGGTATGATCTCCTGTATAAGAGGGAGTTAGGAAAGTGTTTTTCATTTATCATTAAGACCTATGAAACTTGTAGTAAATAGATCACTGTTGTATGAGTTGTTAACTGGAGAACTAGATGAACTATAGGGACTTGTGCTAATATCACAACTTTTCTGTAAATCTAAAATCAAATTATTTAAAAAATAAATATATAAACATGCCTATAATCCTAGCTACTTGAGAAGCTGAGATTGAAAGGACATTTAGGTAGAAAAGTTCATGGGACTCATTCTCAACTACTAACTAGGTGTGGTGGTACACATTTGTTACCCAGTATACAGGGGAGGCTGAGAGTGGGAAGATGGAAGTTCTAGGCCAGCCTGGGCAGAAAAGTATGGGACTCAGTCCCAATGGGAGAAGTAGTACATGCCTGTCATCCCAGTCACATCCCATCACTGCAAGTCTAAAGTAGACAGATCGTATTTTAGTCATGCCCCTGTTCGGGAATCAAGATCCTATCTCAAAAATAATTGCACAAAAAAGGAACTGCAGGTGTGACTCAGTGGTAGACCTCCTGCCTAGACATGAAGCCCTAAGTTCAAGCCCTAGTACCATCACCAAAATGAAAAGGGGCGGGGAGGAAAAAATATACAAAATTACAGGGCTCGGAGCGTTATTCATTGACAGGATGCATGCTTACTAGTCAAGAAACCTGGGTTTGATCTTTGGTGCCTCACTTCCAAGTGCACATATCCTTTACTGAGACAGACAGACAGAATATATTCTTATATAGTGGAGCAAAGTGCCTGATTAGCAAAAAAAAAAAGAAGAAGAAGAAAACTATCCATTTTCTCACATCTGTGTTAGCCAATGAAAGCAGTACTGGCTTGTCTTACCAGTACTAAAATAAAGTGTAATTTGTTGCCATGGAAGATTTTTGTCACCTTCAGAAAGCCATATGAATGAAAAAGCCTTTCTCTTGTTCTCATATGCACACACTGCAACTTACAAATTGTGCTTACTCCATGAATAAAGAAAAGGAAATGGGATTGGATGAATGTATGAATCCTCTTCTTAGTGTATCTTTTGCGACCAGGTGTGTTAAGTCTTGTTATAGTAGGTGTGGTTATAATCAGGTGCACTGTAATGAGTAGCAGAGATAACCACAAAGCTTTCAAGCTGAGAGTTCTCTTTTTAGCTCTGTTTTGCCCCCAGGAGCAACTGAAATGAAAATGCCACTTTGTTGATGAAAAAGTTTTATGGTTCTCCCTTCTCCCTCTTCTAATCACCATCTCTTAGGCTATATAATGCCAAAAGATAATACTGGGTTTTAGCAAATTCTGTTACTTGTAGATGTGCTGGCCAAGGACCTCTGTGGTTGTGGCAGCTGGAAAGGGAGGTGGGGAAGATTGGCTGGATCATCAGGAAAGACATTTCTGCCCCTGCCTACCTCTTGAGGTAGCTTCTACCTTATTCCCATTTAAAATAACCAGATCTAATTTCATTTTAGCCCATTCTTCCTTAACCTTGTTGAAAAATACATTTAACTGTACTAGGAATATGAGGAGAGAGGAGGCATGTTTAGACATGCACTTTGTGTTGGTCTCATAGAGGTAAGAATAGGCCTTCTCAACGCCGGAACAATGAGCTAAGCACCCAAATGAGATGATGCTTCACCACCCTGCTCCTCACAAGCTTGCTCTTTGCCCACTGATCTATATATTATAACTGTTTAGAACATCTACATTCATAAAGTCACTCCAAAAACAGTAATAGAGGTAGTAATAGTTGAATGTTAGCCTGTCAGACTGGCCTTTCAGATGACATCCGTAAAACCTTTACCTAAAATAATGGTAACTTATTAAAACTACCCTGGGGGGATTTGAAACAAACAAGTTTTTTAAATGATTCCATACTCTGAGAATAAGCATTCTTTTTGTTGTTGTTGTTTTTGGTCAGTCATGGGCTTGAACTCTGGATCTGGGCACTGTCCCTCAGCTCTTCAGCTCAGGGCTAGCACTCTACCACTTGAGCTATAGCACCACTTCCGGCTTTTTCTGCTTATGTGGTGCTGAGGAATTGAACCCAGGGCCTCATACATGCAAGGCATGCATGGCAAGCACTCCACCACTGAGCCACCTTCCCAGCCCAGAATTATTAGAGTAATTAAAGCAAATACTATAACTACTATCAGTGAAGTAAAGGGAAACTAACCCTTCAATTAATAGAAGGAACATCTTTGAAAAGGAATAGAAATGATAAAATTAAGTAACCAAGTAGGAGTACCAGGACTAAGAACTATAATTTTAAATTTTAAAAAAAAATGTATCGCTAAATGGCATTAAAAGCAGAATAGAAGCTATGTGCCCCTAACTACTCAGAAGGTGAAGATCTGAGGATCACTACTCAAAGCCAGCCTTCTCCCCCCATTAAAACACTTCTGTCATTATTCACTTTTTCTTTTGATTGGTCATGGGGCCTGAACTTGGGGCGTGGGCACTGTCCCTCAGCTCTTCAGCTCAAGGCTAGTGCCCTACCACTTGAGCCACAGCGCCACTTCTGGCTTTTTTTGCTTATGTGGTGCTGAGGAATTAAACCTAGGGCCTCACGCAGGCAAGGCAAGCACTCTACCACTGAGCCACCTTCACAGCCCCTCATTACTCACTTTTACACTATTGCAGGAAAAAGGAATATGAATTGGGTATGATGTTATACTGGAGTTTGAACTCGGCCTCTCACTTGTTAGGCTGGCTCTTTGCCACTTGAGCCACACCTCTAGTCCTGTTTTTTCTGGTTATTATAGAAATGGAGTCTAGCAAATTTTACCTGCCCAGGTTGACTTCAAATTACAATCCTTCTGGCCTCAATATTCTAAGTAGCTAGGATTACAAGCATGAGCCACTGATGCCTAGTTATGATGCTCTTCTCTTTTTTTTTTTTTTCTGTCGGTCATGGGACTTGAACTCTGGGTCTAGGTGCTGTCCATGAGCTCTTCAGCTCATGGCAAGTGCTCTACCACTTGAGCCACAGTGCCACTTCTGATTTTCTGGTGTTAATTGGAGATAAGAGTCTCATGGACTTTCCTTTGCTTTGAACAACAATCCTCAGATCTCAGCCCCCTGAGTAGCTAGGATTCCAGGCATGATCCA